AGAAGTGACTGCCCGGACACCTCAGGGACACCTGTTGTCACGCAAGGAGTCCGAGAAAGACATGGACACCCGGAGGAAGGTGGCAGCAGGGGTACTGGGACCCCAGCCCCTGCCTCTGCCTCGGACCCAGCTTCCTGCTAACGCACCTGGCAGGCAGGTGATGGCCCAAGTATTTGCATTTCTGCCACCTGCACAGGAGACCTGGATGGAGACCCAGGCTCCTGGCCTTGGCCTGGCTTGGCCCTGGTTTTTGGAGGCATTTGGGGAATGCAGCAGCAAATGGATAATCTTTGTCTCTGTCTTTCTCTGTCTCTGTCCTCTCTCTCTCGCTCTCTCTCCCTTAAATAAATAGACTTTTTATTAAAAGAAGGAAGTGGGCAAATGACTGTTCACACAAACACACAAAATACAACTCAAACCAGAAAGCAAGATCAAGAATCTTTGTGTAAGTAGAGAAAAGCACACCAGACACTCAGATAGCATCCCTCACCTATCAGATCGGCACAGATCCATGCGCTCACTAGCACATTCTTCTGGCCAGGATGTGGGCAGCCGGCGCTCCCAACTGGTGAGCAGGCCTACGGTGCCACTCGCCACGAAGCGCAACGTCACGGCAGCTGTCGGAGCAGAGACAGCCACCCTTTCCACACCCAGTCCCGTCGAGGGGAATGAGCCAACCCACAGATTTGTTTGAAAGTGCGGAAGATTAGAAAACAAAGTCTGATTAAATCAGCAACTGCGCATTGATGCCACGGAGAAAAGTCACCTCCCAGGGGAGCCACAGACCACTTCCTGTACATGGCAGGTTCTCAGTGCACATTGTTGAAGAAGATTGATTTGTTTGAAAGGCAGACTTACAGAGAGACAGGGAGACACAGAGGAGAGAGAGAGGGCTCTTCCATCTGCCGGTTTACTCCCCAAATATTTTGCCTGCAACTGCCTGGGCTGGGCCAGGCCAAAGCCAGAAGCGAGGAGCCAGGAATTCCACCCAGTTCTCCCACGTGGGTGCAGGGGCCCAAGCACTTGGACCATCTTCTGCTGCTTTCCCAGGCGCATTAGCAGGGAGCTGGATGGGAAGTGGAGCAGCCGGGACTCGAAGCTGTGCTCACATGGGATGCCAGTGTCAGAGGGGGCAGCTTAGCTCGCTGCACCACAGTGCCGGCCTCCACAACCCAGGTCTTGAGTGGGATGACTTTGATCAGGGCAGTGCTACTGTGCGACTTCAAAATCTGGCCGCTTTTGGGTTTCTAAGGCGGCCCTGCAGCCAACCTGGCCCAGGTCTGTTGGCCTCCGTCTCTGGAAATCCACAGCCTCACCTCTTCCCCGGCCTGGTGCCAGCCCTACACCGTGCGCATGTCCCCTTCAGCCCCTGCCCTGCTGCTGGCCACCAGGCATTCCGCTCCAGCCAAGCCCAGCCGACCTCCTGCTGACGCGCCAGCCACCACCACCCCTGCCCCCAGCAGTGCTGAGAAAGTCAAGTTTCTGCAGGTGCCCGTTCCTCCCCAGCAGACCATGACACTCACCCAGAATGCACTGCGGGAGCTCCCCTCCCAGGGCCACTCCATCCTCTCCTCAATCCTACCCCCCGCCTCCTGTCTGCCCCGTGTCACACAGGTCTGCCTCCAGCCCCAGACCCCCCTTGCACTGATCTGGAAGATTACCGCAGGCCACACTCAGGGCATCGTCGGGGACCCTGGCCTATGCCTGTGCCCGTGGCCACCTTGGAGATGAGTGCGGGTTGAGTGGCCCTCACCCTGAACCCTGGGCCTCACCCACGGTCTGGACCCGTGGCACAGCCCCTGGGCCTGGGCTGCATCCTACACGGATTGACAGGTGCATCTGGTGCAGTGGGGAGGGGGAGCAGAGGCAGACACTGCCCACCCACCCCACACTGCAAATGGCACCCAAACCTGGGTGCACCTGGCACTCAGGGGCACCTCATACGTGTACGAGATTCTCACAGTGGCTTCGAAAATGGCAGGGACAGCGCTCCCTGTCCCCCCGGCCCGCCAGCCCTGGGACCTGGGCCGGCTGCGGTGCTCCCCTCCTTTGTCCAAATGCCCTCCCCGGAACCTCCTCACCGTGTGCCGTGTGCAGGGCCATCAACCAAGAATCCACCTCGATGCCATGGGGGGAGTGAGGGTGAGCCTGGTTCTGTCGTCACGCCCCCGAGGACTGAGCACTGCCACAGCGGGCGCCCCGGCCTGCAGCCGACGGCAGCATCCCCGCCAATCCAGGGGCCTTGAGGGCCGGAAGCGACTCTGTTCCCCGTCCCCACCCCTGGACACGTGGCTGCCCGCCTCCTTCGTTCAGAGACTCGGCCCTGGGGGACGGCCCTTGGGTCTCTGCACTGAGATCTTTGGCTCATCCTTAGTGGCTGCTAAATATAACCTGAGGCGTTAGATGCACACTGCAACGGGCTCAGGCACACCTGCCTCCCGCCCGGGTCCCTGGAGGGACACTAGCTGTCCTCTCTACGACTGTGGTGAGCGACAAAGCCGGTCTCGGTGGTGAATGTGCTCTGTGCTCCGATCAAGAAGCGGCGCCTGGCCCTGCGTCTCAGTCCCCTCTTCTGCAAAGTGGGAGTAACAGCACAGGATGGCCGACAGGCCAGGAGACAGCAGAGTGCCGAGCGCCGGGCTGCGGGGCGGGGGAAGACCCAGTGGGGAGGTGCGGACGAAGGCCACAGATGGGCTGGGCCTCTCTGCTCTTCCCGTAAAGCCCTGCGCCACCCCTCCCTCGCCTGCCAGCTCAGACTGCACAGGTGTCACCCCAGCCAGGAAAAGAAGGGGGCTCCCCTACTCCCCCCAGCTCTTACTACCTCTGGGCTCCACGGGGACCTACCCAGAGGGAGACAAAGGAGACAGCTGGCAGAGAGGACTCTGGTACACTGCTAGTACTCTGCTGCCCGCAGCCGCCCAGGGTGTGGGGAGCAGGGACCTGGTGTCCGCTCCTCTCCCCGCCCCCGCTGTCTGTTCCTGGGAGTGGCCACACCTGCCACCTTCCAGGTCACCAGGCTGAGAACAGCCCAGACCAGTGCTGGCACCTCGGGAGCTGGTCTGCCCTGAGCGCTCCCCCTGACATCTCTCCCAGCCCCGCCTCTCTGTCCTCGAAGTTCAGAAGGTCCCTGGGGAGCAGGACTGGCTCCTGGCCACAGCACCAGCCCCGGGAAGAGATCTTTGTCAGGAGGTGAGGAGACAGGCAAGGCCCTTGCTCACGAATGGGCAGGAACAAACCCCCGAGGTGCAGGGTCCTTGACCCACTGGTGTCCCGGCCAGGGAACCAGATGCGCATGGCCTCTCTGGAAGCTCACTTGCACTCCCTGCCAGGCGAATGCCTTTCCAGGAAAAGTTTAGCGATGCGCACATTTGTGCATAAATTCAATGTATAATGTTTACCAGACACAAACCTAAAAACCCCACCTGGAAAGAGAAATCCACTCAACGAACATGTAACAATGTAACAAGATAAAAAAAAAAAAGTTGGAGAGTGGCGAGGGGTTGCATTGCTCACGAAATCACATTAACTGGACAAGATTCTACAGTAAATATTCAGATGTGTAGAAACGGATTTTTTAAAAGTCGTGCGAAAAGGAAAATTTAGACAACAGTCATCTCGGGCTCCTGTGAACCCGGAATTCCCCCGTCCCCACTGGGTGATTTATGACCAAACTCTCCCCGCTGCGGCTCCCCATCAAGGGAAGTGCAGGGCATGGGGTGACAGCACAGGGGGCAGTGGCGCTGTGGGCACACCTGGGAGGGGTCCAGGGGGTGGGCAGGAAGTGAGGTCCAGAGCCGGCTGCCCAGCTGGAGATGGAGCTGTCCACCTGCTGCCACCTGTGGGGACCTGTACCGCCCCCCCACTGCCCTGAGACCCCGAGGTCTGCAGGAGGCTCCCGGTGAGGACCCCCCCCCGCTGAGCTCCCACACGAGCCTCCTCTGCCACAGGCCAGGGCCCTGGAGCCCTACACCCACCCCAGCAACTCGGGTGCTACAGGGCTTCAGTGGCTACAAAGAAGCAAGCGTCCCCACCTCCCATCTGTCCTGTGCACCCGGAGCCCACCTAGCGGAGAGGCACACAAGGTCCCACCTCCCTCTCCCTTTCCTTCCCCTGCTGTTTAGGCCTTTGTCTCGGGGCTCCCTTTTAGGGGACTTCAGGGTCTGGAATACAAAATTGGAGCCAGGTCTAGGGGCCTGGGAGGGCTGGGGGGCAGGGCTGGAGGCGGCAGTCTTGGCCCAGCCTGGACCCTGCAGGGAGACCCAGGCCGCTCCCCACACCCCGCCAGGCCTGGGCCGCGCTTTGGGAGGTGATAAGGCAGCCCTTGGCAGTGGCTGCACCAAGTATTCTGGGAAGAATGGCGATAACACGGGTCCCAGGGAGCACCCGGGCGAGGCAGGACGCTTCCCGGTGGGGTAGGGTGGGGTGGGCCCGGGAGGTGGCTCTTTAACCCCCTCCGAGCCGGAGCCTTGGCTGCCAGTGCCCTGGAGGGGGACTCCAGGGACGGATGCGGAAACAGAGGCAGAGAGGCCGCAGCAGCGATGCAGGGGGGAACCCGGGCCCGGACCCCTCCCCCACAGCCGGGCCTGTTCCGACCCCGCAGACCCCAGTCTTCCCCGTCCGGGCTCCGCGTGCCCACGACCTCAGCATCCCTCGCAGCCCAGCGCCCGCGCCTCCAGCCCGCAGCCCCCTCGGCGGCCGCGCCCCCGGACGGGGCGGCGCGACTCGCCCGAGAGGACACTCAGCGCCGAGCAGCCGCGCTCGGACCCGGGCCTCGCCTGCCACGTCCCGGCCGGAGCTGCTCGCGGGGCTCCCGGGCGGGGCGCGCGCTTCCTCGCGGGCCGGGTTTTGGGGGCAGCCACCGACTTCGGGGCGCAGTCGGGGCTGGCGCGCGCACCGAGGTCGCCTCCGGAACAGGTGGCGCGGGCCAGGGCGGTGGCCGATCCCGGAACCCCTCCCTCCTGGGGCGCCCCCTCCCCACTTGGCCGCTCGGCCCCTAGTACCTTCGGCTCCCGCGGCGGCGCACCGTGGACACCCGCGCCGGGCGGGCGGGCGGCTGCCGGAGCGGAGCGCTGGGAGCCGGCAGGCAGGGCGGGCCCGGGGCGGGGTCTGCGCGGCCCCGCCCGCCCTTGCGTCCTCGCTGCCACCCCGGTACCCGCCCGCAGGCCCACAGGGCTGGGCACTCCGGGTGCTGCCCGGCCGCCGGCTCCGGGAGCCGGGATCCCATTCCACAGACGAGAGCCCTGAGGCTAGGAGCGGTCACTTTCAATGCTCCAGGGCTGGGAAGGGCGTATTGGCTGCCTCCCCGTGCTGCGGCCTGGCCAGCAGCTTGGCCTCCATTGGCCCAGTGTCCGACCAAGTTTCAGGAGTTCGCTGGAAGCCTGCTTTCCCCGCTGGCTCCTGCCTGGTCAGCTGCACTTCCCAGCCATACGCACAGCCTGCTGGCCCCCAGGACAGTGAGAACAGAGCGGGGCCGTCGGGCATCGTGGGTGTCCGCTGCCTCCACTGGGCAGGTGGCGGGTGGCAGCACTGCCACTCCCTGCTGGTTCCCTCCCCTTCACCCGCAGGTGTGTGGCCCATCTTAAAGTTCAAATGAGGAGGCCCGCGCCGGGGCACACAAGGTTAACTCTCTGCCTGTGGTGCCAGCATCCCACATGGGTGCTGGTTCCAGTCCGGTTGCTCCTCTTCCAGTCCAGCTCTCTGCTGTGGCCCAAGTGTTTGGGCACCTGCACCCACATGGGAGACCCAGAGGAAGCACCTGGCTCCTGGCTTCGTATCGGCACAGCTCCGGCCATTGCAGCCATTTGGAGAATGAACCAACAGAAGGAAGACCTTTCTCTCGGTCTCTCTCTCACTGTCTGTAACTCTACCTGTCAAATAAATAAATAAAATCTTTTTTTAAAAAAAAAAGTTCAAATGAGGGGGGCAGGCCTGGTGGTGCCCACCCCCACCAGGGCTTGGTTCCTCCGCTCTGACCCAGCTTCCCGCTCGCGTGCCTGGGAGGGCAATGGCTGAGGCGGGCGGGCCCTGCCACCTCGTGGGAGACCCAGAGGGAGTTCCCTGCGACCCAGGGAGTGAAGTGGCAGATGGAAGATGGGTCTCTGTGTGTCTCTGTCTGAAGACAAGACCCCTTTGTCTGTCCGGCTCCTCCTTTTGTGCCTGGATCCCCGCTGTCCCCGCCTTGCTCCTCCCAGAAGCCCCAGAGCCCCTCCAAGCCGGCTCTCAACCCTCCCCATCCGCAACGCCCTTCCTGCCCCACCCCACCCAGGGGGGTGTGTCCATGCTTCTACACCTCCTGCCTGGGCCTCCCTCCCCGGCTCCCCCAGGCCTGCCCGCAGCGTTTCTCAGTCCCTGTCTGCAGCACCCCCACCACTGCCCCCCCGGGGGCCCCTCCTGAGCTCTGCCCGTGCCACGTGCTGCGCCCTGATGCTGCACCAGCCCCTGATTCCGTGGGGGGGACCTAACCCCCAGGGTGTTGGTGCCAGGAGGCGGGGCCTTTGGGAGGGAGTTGCAGCGGGGTGGGGGTGGTCCTCAGGGGTGGGGTTAGTGCCTTTATGGAGGAGGCCTGGGAGGGGCCCCTCGCCCCTCCCACCACGTGAGGGTCCCTGGCCACAAGGCGCTGTCTGTGAGCAAGCCGGCCCTCAGCAGACACGGAACCAGCTGGCCACTTGACCTTGGATTTGCCGCCTCCAGAATTGTGAGCAGTAAATTTCTGTTGTTTACAAGTCACCCGGTTCATGGTATTTTGTTTTGTTTTGTTTTGTTTTTAAATATTTATTTGAAAGGCAGAGCATCAGAGAGAGTGGGAGACACACACACACACACACACACACAGAAGTGGAGAGAGAGACAGAGATCTTCCATCCACTGATTTGCTCCCTAAATGGCCACAATCGCCAGGGCTGGGCCTGGCCGAAGCCAGGAGCTAGGAACTCCATCCTGGTCTCTCGCATGGGTGCAGGGGCCCAAGCACTTGGACCGTCTTCTGCTGCCTTCCCAGGTGCGTCAGCAGGGAGCTGGATCAGAAGCAGAGCGGCAGGGACTTGAACCAGAGCCCACATGGGGTCCTCACCTGCTACGCCTCAGTGGCAGCCCTGGAGCATCGTCTGTCCAGCGTCAGGGCAGGTGCACCGAGACGCCTGCAGGTGTCCCTGGGCCTGGGCCACCTTCTCCTCCGCCTTCCTCCCATGTGATCACTGCTCCCGCTGTGTCCCAGTGCCATGCTTTCCTGGCACCCGATGTGTGCTCCTAGGGCACACCTCTCTGAGGCGCTGCTCACAGCGTGTCCTCCTGGACGTGGCTGGGTTGACCTGCGCCAGCTCTGGCTCGGGCCTGTGAGCCAGTTGGAGCACATGAACTGACCTTCTCCTGCGGTCAGTTACCGGCTCAGAGAAGAACCTGCGGCCGGCGTGGCCCTGTGAGCGTGAGTGCTGGGTCTTCTGCAGAGGTCCGGGGCGCAGGTGCCTCCGACTTCCGGGTGTGCTGCCTTCCTTCAGCACAGACGCTGGGACTGTGTGGATCGGGGATCAGCAGGTCCACCCAGGCTGGAGCCCATCCCTGGAAGGTGCTATGGTGCCTGGAGCCGTGCGCACCCAGGCCTGACCTGAAGGTCTCCCTCTCCCTCCCTGACCTGGATTCTCTCATTCCAGATGCTGCTCACCTCGCCACGGCTTCTGTCCCTAGAAGCTCATTTCGGAAGTTGAAGACAGCACGCATTGAGAACGCCTTGAACAGCGCGCCCCGGCTCACCAGCACCGGGCACTGCGGAGCCTTGGGCGTCTCCTCCTCTTGGCGGTGAGGCTGCCCAGCATCACGGAGATGGAACCCACAGCTCCAGCCTGCAGAAAGGACCAAATCGAAAAGTCAAGGTGGGGGGCGGTGCCGTGGCGCAGTAGGTTAATCCTCTGCCTGCAGCATTGGCATCCCATATGGGCACTGGTCTGAGTCCTGGCTGCTCCACTTCCGATCCAGCTCTCTGCTATGCCCTGGGAAAGCAGTGGAAGATGCCCAAGTCCTTGGGCCCCTGCACCCACATGGGAGATTGGGAAAAAGAATCTGGCTCCTCCTGGCTGTGGATCGGCGCAGCTCCGGCCGTGGCGGCCATTTGGGGAGTGAACCAACGGAAGGAAGACCTTTCTCTCTGTCTCTCCCTCTCAAATAAATAAATAAAATCTTAAAAAAAAAGTCAAGGTGTGGTTTCTACTGAATGCCAACCTCTTTTGCAGCCGTGAGACACTGATAAAGCGGAACCCGAGCCATCTTGAGGTGTGAGTCACGGACCATCTGTAGACAGTCTGGTTTCACCAGGTGAGCTGAGGTCTTCGTGCATCGGCTGTGGCTGGCCCGGAGCCAGGAGCCTGGAACTCCATTTTGAGCTGTCTTCCTGGGTGCGTTGGCAGGGAGCTGGATCAGAAGTGGAACAGCCAGGACTCCCACAGGATGCTGGCATCCCAGGCGGTGGCACGTCTCCACCAAAGGGAACTAGGATCCTTGGGCCCATAAAAACCAAGTTAGAATGTTCCAGAATGTCCTGTGGCAGCCAGGAAGGAAGGTCACTCTCAACAACATTAAGGGAGCATGGGAAAGACAACAGAGCAGGCCAGAACCACCCCCCACCCAACACTAGCAGAGCTGAGATAGCAGCATAAACATGATTAATTGTAATTATATTTCAATTCAATAAATCAGCGGATTAGTCATGGCTGTCATGATCCTCAAAAGGAGGAAGTAGTTCGTATAAAACATTTTGCAAAGTTGCGACATAAGGAAGATGACGATGGGATTTTTACGGATATAAAGTGTTGAAACTGGTAGTCTGTGCTTTTTTTCTTCCTATTCTTGTTGACAAATTGGAGAGATGTTTGCTTTATCTGTGTAATCAGAAAAGAATCAGCCCAGCTCTGGCTGGCTGCAGCCCCGGCAGGCAGGAATCCACAGGAGGAGGGGCCCCGGGCGGGCGTCAAGTGTAGGACCTCAGCCTGGTCACCTACTGTCGTCCAGGCCAAGGCACAGCCTGCAGGGGGCGCCCCCAGGACTTAACCAGTCAAGCTGAGGCGCCAGGTTTCCTGCCACGAACCACAGGTCAAGCGCCCGGATCCAGAGACCTCCGTTGACCTTGGAAGCTTCTGGGCCGCTGAGGCCCAGCCAGTTAAGCCACCGCGTAGGATGCCCATGGCCCATATCTGAGCGCCTGTTCGTGTCCCGGCTGCTCCACTTCCAAACCGGCTCCCTGCCAATGTGCCTGGGAAAGCAGCAGAAGATGGGCCAAGTGCTTGGGCCCCTGCACCCACGTGGGAGACCCGGATGGAGTTCCAGGCTCCTGAGTTCAACCCGGCCCTAGCTGGCTGTTGTAGGCATTTGGGGAGTGAACCAGTGGAAGCTCGCGCTCGCTCTCTCTCTCTCTCTTGCTCTGCCTTTCAAGCAGATGAAAATATATGAATAAATAAACATTTAAATTTTAAAAAAGATTATTGCAGACATGGCAAGATTTCAAACTCCCATTACAGGAGCCCCAGGGAGAAACCCAATCCCGCGGCACAAACCGCGAAGACAGTGCCAGGAGGGGGCGTGGGGAGAGGAGGCTCCACGCTTTCCCGTGGGACAAGGCCACTCGGTCGTTTTCGGGAATCGCCTTGTCAGGCCTGCCCGCAAGCGCTGCCAAGCTCTGCTGCGGAGACGTTGGAGCCCAGGGAGCTCCCGCAGGAGCCCGCCTGCTGTCCCTACCCAGCCCGGCCGGCCGCAGGCACGGGCGCCTTCCGCCCTCCCTCCCACACTGGAGCCCGGCCCCCCTCTGCCGACCCCGACCCCGCTCTCGCCCCCAGGGTCTCCCAAGCTGGGCCTCATCCTTCTATGGCCCCCTCCCAAGGCTGAGCCCTCCAGCCAGGCCCCAGAGGAGCTGCAGGGATCGGTGCTCAGCCTCTCAACACTCAGCGTCCACCCTGCCCGCTCAGGCCGTCTCCTCCCGCTCCTCCCCCCACCCCCCTGCTCCTCTCCCACCCACCCCTCCACTCTCCTGCTCCTCCCCCACCTACCCCTCCACCCACAGTGCTGTCCATGCTTCACTAACTCACTTCTTATCCCTCGGTCCCTTTCCAGGACTCTCTGAGTTTGTGATCCTAGAAACAGGAGCCGGATGGGGGCCTGCCCAGGGCTCAGGCCCCACGCACCCACGTGGCCCGGGCTGCCGGCTCCGTGCAAATTCCCTGGGGCCTGGGACTGCGAGTCGCTCGTTTGCTTTCTTTCTTTCTTTTTCTTTTCTTTTCTTTTTTTGACAGGCAGAGTGGACAGTGAGAGAGACAGAGAGAAAGGTCTTCCTTTACCGTTGGTTCACCCCCCATGGCCGCTGCGGCCGGCACACCGCGCTGATCCAATGGCAGGAGCCAGGTGCTTCTCCTGGTCTTCCATGGGGTGCAGGGCCCAAGCACTTGGGCCATCCTCCACTGCACTCCCTGGCCACAGCAGAGAGCTGGGCTGGAAGAGGGGCAACCGGGACAGAATCCAGGGTGCCCTGACCGGGACTAGAACCTGGTGTGCCGGCGCCGCAAGGCGGAGGATTAGCCTAGTGAGCCGTGGCACCGGCCTTTTTCTTTCTTTTTTTTTTTAAGATGCATTTACTTACTATTTTGGAAGAGCAACAGAGGAGGAGGGGGAGAGAGAGAGAGAGACGGAGAGAGAGAGGTCTTACACTCACTGGTTCACTCCCTAAATGGCCGCAACAATCAGGTCTGGGCCGGGTATAATGCAGGAGCCAGGAGCTTCATCCGGGTCTCCCACGTGGGTGGCCGGGACCCAAGGGCTAGGTCCATCTTCTGCTGCTTCCCGGGCCCATTAACTGGATTGGAAACAGAGCAGTCGGGACTTGAACCAGTGCTCTGATGTGGGCTGGTGGCAGCCGGGGCGGAGGCTTCACCCTCGGCGCCACAGTGCGTAGCATTTTGACAAATCTGACAAAAAAAAAAAAGGTGACAAATCTGAGGCTCTGGTCACAGGGGCCGAAAGGCATGGGCGGGGGGAGCTCCAGCCTGGAGCTGGGAGGTGGCTGGAGGGTCTCCCATGACTTGCAGGTGGGAACGAACCCAGGGCAGAAGAGGCTGCTGTCCTGTGCGGGTGGCGCGAATCGGCCGCGGCGGGAGCGCTTCTGCCCAGGCCGGCAGAGGCCCTGCGCCAGGGCTTCCCCCCGGGAGGGCGAGCAGGGAAGAGTTTGCCAGCTCTGGCGCTGGGAGGCCAGGCTGGGAGCTGTGCCTGGCGGGCAGGTGCGCTGTGGGCGGAGGGCGGGGCATGTGGCTGATTCTAGACAGGAAGGGAGCCTGGGGCGGGGTGGGCAAGGGTCAGCCAGATTCCAGTTGGAGGAGAGAGCAGGTCCAAAGGCTGTGACCCAGGTCACCCTGCACACACCTGGGGGCAGGCGGAGGCTCCTCCAGGCAGCGGGAGGGGCTTTGCCTGGCAGAGGGGAAGGTTGACAGGCGCGGAGGACGTCGCACACGCAGGGGCTGCTCCGGGTGGGGACGCCTGGGACTTCCGGGCGGGGAGAGGCTGCAGAGGCAGCCCGGGGCCAGGACACAGGACAGGCAGGGGGAGGGGCGGCTGGGTGTGGGGGAGGGGAGGAGTTCCAGCTGAGGCTCCCTGGAGGCCAGAGGCAGAGGACAAGGCGGTGACCCAGCTGGGCTGGCCACGTGCAGGTGGGTGGCAGCGGCTGATACGGTGACGGACACCGGGCAGAGCCCCGAGGGCCCCAGCGCGTCGCGGGCAGAGCCCCGAGGGCCCCAGCGCGTCGCCAGGAGCCGGCGCATGGGGGCTGGGGAGGGGTATTTCTCTGAAGAAAAGCCAAAAACAAAAAGCGAAAGCTGGAAAGTTCCGGTCTGTGGCCTGGCACAGGAAAGAGAGCTGAGAGCCGCTAGGTCCTGGGGCACAGCCCCGCCCCCGGAGCAGGGTGAGAGCAGCGAGCGGTGCCCGGCCTCCACGGCCACGCCGGGGCCCGAGCAGACCAGCTGGGGGCCCAGTCTCCAGGGGCCCCACGTGCCGTGACCTCCGCCCCCCACCCCACGGAGCAGCCCCTCCTTGCTCTGGGCAGGGTTGGGGGCCTCTTGAGGGGCTTCCTGGGCCCCCACTCATTCCCTGGGACAGAGGACAGGACCGCCCAACCTTGTCTGGCTGGGAAAGGCTCGCTGCCCTGCCAAGCCCGGGCGCCTCGGCCGCAGGAAACCCTGGGAGCTGCAGCCAGAGGCCCCAGAGCAATGCCGGGGAAGGACCTCCTGTCCCCCGCGGGCGCTTCCGGGAAGCAGGAGCACAGGGAACCCGTCTCACTTGTGTCGTGAGGCTGGCACAGCCCCAACACCCACACCCGAGAAAGACGTCGGCGGAAGGTAAATGAGGGCTCCTTCCCCCTCGGAGACACGGGCACGACACTCAACAAGACATCAGCAAACCGGATCACAGGAAGAAGCCCACCCTCGGCCCCGTGGGGCTTCTCCCCGGCCCACACGCCGGGCTAGGTCAGCATTTGGAAGTCAGCTCCTGCGATCCCGGGCGCCAACGGGCTCCTAGCAATAGACGCCGAGAAAACACGTGAGAAAGTCGACACTCGAGACAAAAATCTCTCGGCCAAGTAGCTGGGTCCACCCAAAACCCAGCTTAGAAGCCCTAACCCCCGGGAGCTGGCGATAAAGCGGCCTGGGGGTAGTCAAGGTTAAATGGTTGCAGGAAGTGGGTGGACTGGAGATTCTGACTTCCTGTAAGTTAGGAATCCCGAGGTGAGAGAGAGGGTAGCGGTGAGCCAGGCGGCCCGGGGTAACGGGTTAGGGCATGGGTCAGGACGCAGTCTGAGCGAGGGCGCCCAGCCCTCAGTCCAGGGGAAGCAGGGCCGTGTGGTTTCCTGGGGAGGATACGCCCGAGGGCCAGGCTGGCGGCTCAGCAGGGAGCTGAGCGCTGAACTCGTAAAGGCATGGGATCCGGGTCTCCCACCTCTCTCCCACCCTGCTCCACCTCCACCTTTTCCTGGACAAAGGGTCTCCTGGGTGTGAAACAGGGGCACTTTCTCCCGAGGTTTTACTGCCCAGTGTTAGAGGCGGAGCGGGGAGGCTCTCCTGTTGGCGGGACTGTGCGGGGTGAGATACGGGACCCGGCGGCCGCCCAGGCTGCTGGAGGCGGCGGATGCCTCCCGCACCTGCTTTGCCGCGGGGGCCCCTCTGACACACAAAGGCTGACTTCCATCTTCCGACCTGACAAGACGAGGTGCCTTTGCGGGTGTGGCAGGTGCACGTGTGTACACGGGTGTGAACCCCCTCTCTCTAATGACAAAACCAAGCAATGCGTTCGGCGGTTTCCGGGGCGAGTGGTGTGTGCATCTGTGTGTTGGTACAAAGTTCGGGAAGAGCAGGGGGGAAATGTTAGCTCGTTTCACCCCAGCTTCCTTCTCGCCAACTTTCCCTCTCTCGGCAGTCTTTGAAAGTCAGAGTTAGAGAGAGAGAGAGAGAGAGAGAAGGAGAGAGAGACCTTCCATTGCTGGCTCACTCCCTAAATGGCTACCACCGCTGGAGCTGGGTCAGGCCAAAGCTGGGAGCCTGGGACTCCCTCCGGGTCTCCCTCTTGGGCACAGGGGCTCAAGCACTGGGGCGTCTTCTGCTGCTTTCCCAGGTGCATTAGCAGGGAGCCGGATCAGAAGTGGAGCAGCCGGGACTCGAACTGGTGCTCCTGTGGGATGCCGAGCCACAGGTGGTGGCTTAATCCACTGCACCACAATGCAGTCTGGGCGCTGGCCTCTTCTCCCTGCTAATATGCGTTGGCGATTCATCCAGAGCCGGCTTCTCTGAGGAACAAGGTCTCTAGGAGACGCAGGAGAGGACTATTTCCTCCGTTTCCGCTGGCGGTGGGATACGGCCGACGCCTTCCTGGGAGAGAAGTCGGCCCACGGCCTCAGCTGTCCTGCACTGGGCCGCTCCGGCTGTGTGGTCCCCGCCACGTGCCCCTCACGCTCTCCAGGGTTATTTAAACGATGCCCTCTCTGGACACCTCGTCCTCCTTGCCGGTTTGTGGGGTGCGTGTGTCCACGGACAGAGCTGCAAGGAAAATGTGTTTCAGATTAAGCCAGACGGGCTGTCCTAGCTCCGCTGCCGGCCCGCCGCGGGGCCTTTGGCGGGTACGGCTCCTCCCGGTGCCCCCCCGTCGAGCCGCTTCCTCCTCCCGTGCACCGCGCTGGGTGGCTTCTGTGCCCACCGTATGCCTCGTCTCGAGCCGCGGGCGCGGAGCGCTGCCCGCCACGGCCTTCTCTAAATGGCTGTGGTTTCTGTTTTGGTTTCCTGTCGCTCTCCTAGCACAGGAGTTCCCCCTTTATCCCTGGTTTCACTTCGCAAGCTTTCAGCCACCCCAGGCAACTGCTGTCTGGAAATATTAAGTGGAAAGTTCTAGAAACAAACTGTTCGTTGGGGCCGGCACTGTGGCATAGCAGGTAAAGCCACCACCTGCAGTGCCAACATCCCATATAGATGATGGCTCGTGTCCCGGCTGCTCCTCTTCCGATCCTGCTCTCTCCTGTGGCCTGGGAAGGCAGTAGAAGACGGCCCAAGTGGTGAGCCCCGGCCCCTGCACCCATGTGGGAGACTCAGGAGAAGCTCCTGGCTCCAGGCTTCAGATCGGCGCAGTTCCAGCCGTTGTGGCCAATTGGGGAGCGAACCAGCGGATGGAAGACCTCTCTCTCTCCTCTCTCTCTCCTCTCTCTCCTCTCTCTCTCTCTCTCTCTCCTGTCTTGCACTTCTCTCTCTCCTCTCTCTCTCTCTGCCTCTCCTTCTCTCTCTGTGTAACTCTTTCAAGTAAACAAATAAGTCTTTTTTTTTTTTAAAGCAGTTCACAAGCTTCACATAACTTTTGTCATGATACCTTATTCTAACTGCTCTATTTGACAACCAGTTGTTTTTTTTTTTTTT